GAATATCTGGTCGGTTGTTGATTTTCCAGGTCTGAAGCCACACTGATAAGGTCCAATCAGTTTGTTGACGGTGGGCTTTAATCTTTCACRCAATACGCTCGATAGAACCTTATATGCGATATTGAGGAGGCTTATCCCACGGTAGTTGGCGCAGATTGTGGGGTCTCTTTTTTTGAGGATCGGGCATAGCACACTTAAGTTCCAATCGTTGGGCATGCTTTCGTCCGACCATATTTTACAAAGAAGCTGATGCATGCTCCTTATCAGCTCTTCGCCGCCGTGTTTGAATAGCTCGGCTAGCAATCCATCGACCCCCGCCACTTTGTTGTTCTTCAGGCGGGTAATTGCTATTCGAACTTCTTCCTGGTCGAGCAAAGGAACGTCTGCTCCATCGTCGTCGATTGATGCATCGGGCTCGCTTTCTCTTGGCGTTATGCGTTCACTGCCATTCAGCAGGCTGGAGAAGTGTTCCCTCCATAATTTAAGTATGCTCTTGGCATCGGTGACTAGATCACTTTTGGGGGTTCTACAAGAGTATGCGAGGGTCTTGAAACCTTCTGTAAGCCGCCGCATTTTTTCGTAGAATTTTCGAGCATTACCCCTATCGGCCAGCTTATCAAGCTCATCGTATTCACGCATTTCGGCCTCTTTCTGTTTCTGTCTGCAAATGCGTCTCGCTTCCCTCTTCAATCTGTCCTATCCCGCACGTATTGTGGTCGATCATAACATTGCGAGGTAGGCAGCCTGGTTGGTTTTTGATTTCTTAATTCAAAATTATGTAGATCATTTTTGGTTTTGCAAAATTTATTTTTTTTAATTTTTTTTGTTTTTTGTTGGTGCCACTTCCCCTCTTTTGTTATATTTATACATATGTTTTCTGCCTCATATACCTCACGGTATTTTGTTAATTTATTTTTCCTATCCCATAGTGCCTTTCATAAGAACTCAAAAGTCTCTGCTTATTTGCGTACCCAATTTATCGCGTTTTTTACAGTTCTCACATTTTCGTATTTAATTTAAACACTGTTAATTTGTCTGCTTCACCGGAGTTAAATGCCATCTAATGAATGGAGATATGCTTCCAGTATTATTAAGGCACCATTGACTCCAACAGTATACAGTGTACCGAAATTTGCATTTTATCATAAAGGAAATAATTATAACATATTCTTCAATGCGATATCCAACATTTAAGCCGATATATGGCATGTGGTTTAAGACTAATATGAAAATTTGGTTCAAGTACTTAAGAAATCTTAAATTTCGTCATAATCGTTCTTTATAAGATATATGTATGAGTTCTTAGAGGCAAGAATATAAGTTTAATAATTTTATAAAGGCTAGAGAAGAATGGTTCCGACCCCCTTACACATTTTCAACGTATCACCAATAAATCACTGGGATATTAACCGTAATATGGATTGTTACTTCATTTTAAATTTATATGCTATGTATCAAACCAAAAAGAAAAGGTCCTGCTTAGACAAATAATCAGTCACATTCATGTAAGAACACGCTTCATATATCAAACATTAACCTATTTGTATGGAGTCGATCCATAAGATTTGTTGAGATCCTCTTCCATCTTCCTGATGCCAAAACTACGATTTCCAATCCGTGTTCTTATTTAACTTTATCGTCAATAGTGGAGGTAGATGGACGAGGAGCATGTGGCAATTTTATGACTGAAAATTTTTTGTTCCATGGGAAAAGTCGCCAGGCAAACCTTTTGTTATATGTATGAGTTCGAACTTCACACGAACATACAAGTTTGTACTCAAAGTGTATTCAAGAATACATTTTGGTTGTGCCAATCTAGAAAATAACAAGTAAGGAAGAGCTAAGTTCCTGAGCAACCGAACAATTTATACTCTGGCAACTTGCAGGAATCAAAATCAGGGAAATAAGTTAAGGTGCAAAACGTCAATGACATACATAATTCAAGTAAATACGGATATATATATATTATCAGGAAATAATTACAAGTGTCTGAATTTGAATTATAAACTCCCGCTATATTAATAGCTTCTCGATCTACACACACACACAATTAAAATTTTCGAATGAAATTCAAAATTACATTACGCGCATAAGGAAAGTAAGCGTGGCTGTAGTCCGATTTCACCCATTTTCACACCGTAACATGTAAAAATACCAGATGAATGTCACACACCAAGTGTGTTTGAAATAGGTTGGGCGGGTTTTGAGATATGTGATTTCACCTAAAAGTGGGTTGTGCTACGCCTATCTTCCAATTTTGACCTTGACTTCTGTAAAGTTCGCTTATGTGTTCGCTGGGGTGTAAAATGTTATGCATCCAGCGGGGGAGGTTAGCATCGGATGTCATAAATTTTCTCACAGTATTTAGCAGTTCTTATAATATTTGCGCTAGGGGAATTTGATTCCTGTAGCTTTAGTGCCTTAGGAGATATTTACATTAAATTAGAAGGCGCGGCCACGACCATTTTTAAAAATGTTTGCGCACAGTTGCCCCTTGTGATCCCCTATGCGGAAATGGTGTTTTATATCCAAACTTAGTGCTTAGTTATGGTACTTTATAAGTTTTTGTAGTATTGAAGTGCATTACCTTTTATTTAATATACTTACTGTGGGGCTTGTGCAAGGCCATCATGAGGTGGTCGTTCAATATCAAAATCTTTGGGGAAATAAGGCGATGTTTCTGGTCTAAAATCGACACCGGGAGCCAAATACGTGTACTTTTTCTTTTCCTCTGGTACTATTTTTTGCCTGCAAGTACATGTAAAACTTATTTATAAAAATTGTAAAAGTTGTCTCATATAACAGCGTTAAATCAATATATGTATTAATATTAATATTATGCCATGAATGAGTCTTTCGATATTATTGACAAATTTTTGCCTTTTAAGTTTAAGCAGTACATAAACTGTATTAAGTATATGCTTTTCTCAACTAAACTTATTCGTATGATCCGATCGCTACTAAAATTTTATTTTATATCAGTAATCTATAGATTTTGCAAGATTTCGCCATACAAACAATGGCACTCGTTAAACACGTCACCGAACAGTTTTGAATCTAATCTACCCGAAATATCCCTGTGCGACTCTGATTTAGACACTACAAAGAGAACATGTGAACAAACAAATTAAATATAACAAACAACGTTCTCTTTTAATGTTATCGGCAATAACGGAGGTTTTTAATATCAAAAACAGGTGTTTTGAAAATCTCCAACGTAAGGATGGTCCAGATTAGTTAATGAATCAAATGTAATCTAATCAATTAAAATGTATATACTATATGCATTATATTCTAAAAAACAAAAAATAATAGTGCCAATCTAGAAAACAATTATATAATTATATATAACAGGGGCATATTGGAAATAAAGATAACTACGCAAAAGAACGAAACTCACGGTGACTTTGAGCAAATTCTGGGCGAATGCGTTGAGAAAATAGAGAACCAGAATTACAACAATGGTGACTAGCAAACAACTTTGCATATTTTAAATAAAGAACTTCCCACTTTCATTTTGCAGCTGGGAAGTGGACAGGTAGTAAAGATACTTATTTCCACCGTATCTAAAAAAAAAACGCATCGCAAGATAGCCAAATTGCGACCTGCATTATCATAATTGTTTTTGCTTTCTAATTTATCATCATTGAGACACTATTTTAGGAAACATTAGCATTAAAGGAAGCACAGAACACAAGAATTACCATTTCCATGAAAGGTATGACAACTAAAAGAAATGTTAATATTTCAATTGTGGAAAAGATTTAAGGCATTCAAGAAAAGATCTCTTTACATACACCGAGAAATTACTAAAAAAAATATGCTATAGCGGAGATTAGATCAAATACAAATTATCTATTTCCATCGAATGCGATATTCGCCGTTGCCTACGCGCAAAGGACCATAAATCTTTCGCAGAACTTTTCTCTCGAAAACTGGCAACGTCGACACATCAGTTGTTGTCATCGTCCAGGCCTCTGCACCATATAGCAGGACGGTAATTATGAGTGACTTATAGAGTTTGGTTTTTGTTCGTCGAGAAAGGACTTTGCTTCTCAATTGCCTACTCAGTCCGAAGTAGAACCTGTTTGCAAGAGTTATCCTGCATTGGATTTCCAGGCTGACATTGTTGGTGGTGTTTACGCTGGTTCCAAGATAGACGAAATTATATACAACTTCAAAGCTATGACTGTCAACAGTGACGTGAGTGCCAAGTCGCGAGTACGACGACTCTGTGTTTGATGACAGGGGATATTTCGTCTTGCCTTTGTTCACTGTAAGACCCATTTGATTTTCTTCTTTATCCAATCTGTAGAAAGCAGAACTAACTATTAAAACTACATACTATTAAGATGCCCCATACTAATAAAATGTAATAACATCACCAATCGTATGGAATAAAGTCACTCGGATATTTGTTTTATGTGGCTAGTTTTAGCCCAAGTTTATCCATTATACATTACACGACTCTACGAAAAAAATTTCATTCTTTGTCATAAAGTTTACTTTATGATTTTTTCGGGTGTATAATGTAATGCCGACAGTCAAAATCTCGAAATTTATAATTCCGACAATCAAAATACCGACAAATCAAAACACCGACAAATCAAAACACCGACAAATCAAAACACCGACAAATCAAAACGCCGACAAATTAAAATACCGACAACTCATAATACCGACAAATCTAAACGCCGACAATTCGAAATACGGACAGAAGAAATTTT